GAATCATTACTTTAATAAACATGCAATCTAGAACTTCTCAGCTTGCTTCAAAAGTCTTTTACCAGCTGCACTGATCTATCCCTAGTGATGAAGACCTGAGCTGACCCTGTCAATTTAGGAACCCGTGATTCTAGAGATTCTTTAGCTTTCTAGCTTAGATCACTACATCATCTTATTCAATTCTTTTACTAAGCAGTGCCATCTATTCTGCAAATAATCCGAAGTAACATTGTTAACATGTTTTAAGCATTGTGATAAAAATTTGTTTAATTGGTGAGAAATGTCCCCCGGGTTTCAGTCTTTGTTTAGTGTGTCAAGTTTGAAGCCAAGAAGAAAAAAAAGCCCAACAAAACCATCAAGCAACTCTCAAATAGAAAACAGGAATGCAAAGGTATGCTCCCCCACGGGGAAGCTGGCTAACTGAAATTGTCTTCATTCTAGCATTCCCTTTAAAGGACAGTAATTGACACTTCAATATCATTTAAAAAATAATTCAAAACCACTTAAACAGCCTTCTATTTTTTTTCTGGTTCCACATTTCTGTAGGTGTCAGCCATATTCTTTTCATTCAGGCTGTGATGTGGATCACAGACTTCTTGGAAAGGCCTTGCTTGCTGCAACAATAACTTTTTTTGTATTTGCCAAACATTGCACATAAAGCCCTGAAGTGAAGTTCAGTAGCCATTTATATCACACATCACCTGATATTTTGCTAGACCTGTAGCAGGTAGGCAGTTATATTTTTCACACTGTAGACAGCCAGAATGACGAAATTTAGAACTAATTTCTTAGAGGTAGAATTGGAATGGAATGGCTTTGAAAATGGGAGGAAATGTAATCCTTTGAGTGCAAGACATTTAACTGACAAGTTTTGATGTTCAAATAACTTTGAGATTTTGTTTTAGGAGACCGTCTTGTTTCCTTTGCCTTTTTTGATAAAAATATTGTTTCAGATATTTTTTTCTGTATAAAATTGGTTTCCCTTTGTTCTCACAACTAGCACTTCAGGAGAAATCTCTACTAAGAAATTTGGCTAGCATTTTTAAAATTGCTTATCAAAAGTTAGGGTCTTATGTATACATTAAATTTTTAAAGGAAAATGTTTTAAAAGAAAATGTTATTTAATAATTTGCACTACTCAGACTCAGTTTTCAATAAAGAACTTAAGCTAATTTATCCAGTCTGTAAGTACAATTGCTAGTCATATTGCTGATTGTGTCTACAAATACCAAAAAATAGAAGCATAAAACTTTTTATGTTGTTTTTGTATCTTATGCATAAACTCAGAGTCAAACAAGGAGTTCCACGTCTGTCTGTTGTAGTAAGATGCACATGCTCCAGTGTTGGAGCCTGCAGTTTCTTTCATTCAAAGCAAGGAAATCTAGGTTTATTTTAGGCCCCAGGTCCCTTTCTTCTGCATCCCAGGTGAAAGTAGTATCCTGAACCAACCTGTTGAACTGATGCCTCCACAGCTAAAAATCGTTGCAGGAGAGACAGTTCAAGAACGAACCAGGCTCTAATCTCAAGTTTGGGGAAGTAAGCTGTAAGAAGACGAAGAAACCCTGGGAGGAAGACTATTAAGCCCAGCACCTCCCAGTTGTAACCCTAAGGCTGCAAAGTCAAGCTCCCCTTTATTCTCTTAAGGAAGCCAGCAATTTTTGAGCAATTTTTCAACACTGCCATCAGTATGTATGGCTAGGGAGAAGTCTGCTATCCTGCTTCTTCTGTGGAACTGTTACTCTATTCCAACATGTACAGAGATGGTCATGTTTTGCGCCAAGGGACTTGCTGTCCCTGCTCCATGGGACTCCTTGGGGTGAGGTGGGCAAAGCCAGCTGGGGCACTTCGTCTGTGGGACCTCCAGGTTCCCATCAGAACAACAGAGCTCATTGAGTTAAAGCATTTCCAAAAACTGTACCTGATTGAGGCCATTTTAGATCAGTTTTAATTCTTGTTAAGTCTGCTCCTATCTGAGCGCCTTGATTAGAATTCTTTTCTGTTCATTTTATCTTCCAGCTACGTGTTTGATTGTTGGATACCTATTAGATGTATTAGTACCTCTTACAAAGAGTAGACTCTTACAGGACCAGGGGAACATGGCTATGTCTACTATTTCATGAAATCTCAAGTGGTCATTATAATAGCAATGTCAACTGTGATGGTGGAAGAAGGTTTTGAAAGAAGATCCTTCAGCATTTCTATCTATCCCTGTATTTCATCTCTATATTTCATCAATATACTTCAATATAGCTGTATTCTGATTAAGTGGAAAACATATAGTTGTTTTCTGTAATGTACAGAAACATTGCGTTCATGAAAGCACCGATTTTTTTTCTCCAAATTGTTTAATTCTGAAAAACTTTAGCTCTTAAATTGAGATAATTACACCACAGGATACAGTATATGCTTTTCACTTTGCAAATCAAGTGATGTAGAAAAACATTTACTAAGGTGATGGTATTGAAGAAATCATGTAAATAGAAATACACAAAGATTTTTAGGAGTGACTGGTGACTTTGTCATTTTATATTGTTCAGTGTGAGACATTTTAAAATCATCTTATAGTGATTTAATAGTTTTCAGCAGCTTCAAAATATTAAGGCTCTTTATAGATTTTTTGATTTGAGCACCTAATAACTGAGGGAACCAAAAGCAACATTCTGAACCTGCTCTGAATTCTTTTAACAGGCGATTACTAGCCTATAGCTGCTGTGAAGATCTTTGCTGTTGAGAAGTTAGCATTGTTTTATCTGGTCAATGGACAATACTGATACTGTTCAGTTCTGCTGCTTCTCACCCAAGTGAGATCTTTCTCAATTCAATCTTCTGTTCTTTCTAGTACTCCTTCAGACAGCTCTTACCAATACAACTGAAATCTCAGATTGGAGGGTAGGATCCACCGTGCTTACCTTTCCTGTAAAAATCTGAAGCATTTATTTGTTGTAGAGATTGTTAACAAGTGTCACAGCACTTCAATTACACTTCTAAATTCAAAATCTAATAGAATTTTATGCTTGCTAATACTATGGTATTCTTTTCTATAAGTCAATTTGGAAATATTTTTCTATATAATTTTTAAACATGGTGCAGGAACAAGGGAAAATTGGGTATGTTTTAAGTTTCTCCTGTTTTGACAATGTCTATATTTAAAGACTCATGGTTGAAAAGCCATATGGCTCAGACATATGAATGAATGGACTGCTAGACATCTTAAAAAAGGAATTATCCTATATAATATTAGATTTCTGTATTCAGATCATATTTCAGGCAAAGAAAGGATTTATTTTCACAATATTTATGAAATGTCATCGTTCTGTCTGTGCTCAAAACTCAAGAGTACCTTAATGACTCTTACTTCCCCTTCATCTATTTTGCGTTATATTGAATCAGTGCTATTGCTATCAAATTGCTTTCTGCTTCAGAAAGTAATGAGGCAGTAGAAGACAGTGTTGTATTTGTAGTTTTTATATTAGTAACCATGATTTAAAAACAATTAAAAAATGAAAGCCTTAAAAACAAACACAACTATTTCTCTCTTTCTGCTGTTTTCTAGCAATATCCACGGCCCACATAGGTAATATAGGAGAGGCTACCCAAAGGCCAAACAGACCTTATTTATAAATTGTGTACAATATGGGGCAGGAAAGATTGGGGAATGGGAGAGGTATCAAGAACCCATTTGGTATCCACTGATTTCCAAAAGTGTCAACTTATGATTTGCCAAATCTGTTTCCCATTAATTTGCCTAACAGTTCCACTAGGAGTTGCCAGCAGAACAACCTTGATCCCACACAGAATGAGATGCCACATCCCATCAGTGTGGCACGTTATTGATGGTTTCTGAAGAAACATATTTTTCTTTCTTACACTTCTACCTTGCCCCAGTATGATTTCTCTTTAACTATGACTTCATCTTCTGCTTTGATACTACCTACAAAATAGTATTTCCTTAAAATATACCAACTCTGTCTCCCTCTTCAGTCTGTGTACTATATAGTAGATCATAATTTTGTGAGCAACCTTCAATAACCAATAATTCTGGAAAAATATTTAATTCTATTAATATATGCTATTTTTGGTTTGTAGCTTGGGGGTTGTTGCTCCATATTCAAGGGATTGTTTTAATTGACTTCAATATAATTTTGGCTTACAGTAAGAAACAGAGAGTCTGTGTAAAAGTGAATGTATTTCTAATTACAGTAAATTTCATTTGACTTAAAATTCTTTCACATTAATTACCAAACTTGGATTTCAGAGTGCAGTATTTATGCCAAACTATTTGATAGGAATTCAATGTGTTTTCATTTCTTTGTGACAGAGGAATGCCCTGAGCCATTTACAACCTTTGGTATGCATTCAGAATATTTGTTGGCATCAGTTAGCTGGATTTATGTGCATGAACTGGGTTCTGAGTATTGTTGTTACTGTCTTTTGTTCTTCATAATTTTTTAACTCTCAGACAAGCTACAGTAATATAGTTATTAAAGCTTTTAAGCTCTATAAGCTATGAGATCTGATTAAACCAATGAAGATTTAAAGTAATCACTAAAAAACCACTCTGACACATTCAATTTTTATGCTTGAACCATTTGACTGCATATTGTGTGTGCACTGCATAAAACATACAGCACAAGCAAATTTTTTACTTTTATTTCTGTGTCATCCTATTCAAGGAAACTGTAAAGTAACTATGTCTGACACCTGCCTTGCTCTCTTTTGTGTTGAGTGTGTTAATGATTCTGGAAGTGCACAAAATACCCATGGGTTCCCTCCAGTAAGTCTTCAATAAGTTTGCACAAATGTATACACTAGCATGCAGTGAATATGCCTCTGGATGTAGAGCACCATACTTGGTTGACTAAACTCATCAATTTAAATTAATTTGGTAGTTTTTATTCATTTTTCCTTTTTAATGCATGATTTATATTACTTTTATTATTATTTCTGCATTTTCTCTCTCCCCTTTTTTTGTTTTACATATTGCTTTCATTTGTTTATAGAAGAAAAGAAAGCAGATCCAGAGAATGGGGATACAGGTAGGGTGCCTTATTCAAAATATTTTCATGTTTTTGCCCTTAAGTTCTTTGATCTATTATGTTTAAGTAAATGTGTACCATGGAGTTGGATCACAATGTTGATGTATTTTTGGGATTTCAAATTATACACTAGGAAATGGAAATTAACTTTCCCAAATGTATTTCCTTTGCTTTTTTAAGGAAGTCAGATTAGGGTGAGAAAGGGGAAGAAAGCTAAAGAAGGCTGGCTCTTTGTCAGCCAAGAATTTCCCTGTGCTGATGAAAACCCCACTGAGCTAACCTTCAGGCCATGGGATTTTTAATGTTCGACAGTTGTTCAAAATAGCAAAACTGAGATGTTGCCACAGTGTAATAATCCCAGTTGTGTTTGGTGTTTTTTCATCAGTGTTTTGTAGTTTTTTGTGTTCCTATGGCTGAAGTTTGAGTTCATTGGCTGTTTATGTTGGAGGCACAGCTACTGTCTAGAAGTAAAATTCTGCAAAGAAGTTAAGGCAGATGTATACAAATGAACACACTTTTGCCTAGACAAAATTTGGTTGCATACACTTTGGTACATTATTGCAGTACATTAACTGATATCAGAAGAAGCTTTAATTGTTCTAGTGTCAGTCTCTATAGTCCTGAGAATGTGTTGGGCTATGTTGTAGCTAAGGACTATGAATAACACAAGGGCTCAGTCAGCCTTGTGCTACCAGCATGAAAACTTGTGCTCCTACATTTTTACCACTATTAATAACTATTAATTAGACTCAGATCAGTTCTGATTTGTCTACGCACACTACATAAACACCTCCTGGTTACAGTGGAGTACTTAGTATAGGACCGATGTTTACCCTTGGTTAGGAAAATCATGTTAGAAGCTGAAGCTTCCTAATGCACCCAGACAGTTACTGAACACTCTGGAAGTACTTTCTGCTCCTTCTAAACCCCCAACATAGGTTTCAGATAAGTATAGATTTGCCAGCAGAAGTGGAGATGATGATAACCCTGCATTCCCACCGCTTAGTGCAGCACACATGGACTCTGGGCCATGTGAATGGGAAGTACCCCAACGTGCTCTCAACCTTTTTTACTCCCGTCCAGATCACGGCTGCATCTGGCTTTAGTTACATGGAGATCAGCCTGCGGCAGCCAGTAACCCTGGACACTCTTTCTGCCTGTCAGCTCCATGCATAATACACCCAAAGCTGATCTTCTGCATTGTGAACTTTCCATTGCCCTCAGGATTCCCTCTTTTTGTGTGTAACTGAATTCACTTACTTGTTAAAGCAGTTTCAAAAATTCATAGCAAGTTAGATTTTCTTTTAATAAGCTTTTATGGGAATTGAGTATTTTTTTTCCTAAATTTTCCTGTCTTGTTTTTCTCTAGAGACTAAAATATGCCATCAATTTTTATTATTTTGCTACAGAGGACTCACATGGAGAGTTTATGTGTTACACTTCCCTGTCAACTGCATATTTCAGAGTGCTTGGTTCTGCAAACCAGGAGGCATTGAAAACCTAAGTTTCACTTTGCAAATGATCATAGATAGGAAATAATATTTTCACAAGTAATTGTGAATTTTCTAGTTTATGCTCAGGAGTTGTTATTTCATAACTTCTTGAAATTTCCCGAAATTTGGCAGAATATCTGAGGAAAATTAATGTATGTAATAATTTAATAATTTCAAAATTTGACAGAATTTCCCTTTTGGTGAAAAACATCTCCTTTATTACATTACTGAAGCATGACAAGTGGATTTACAGACTGTTAAGATTTCAGCAAAAGATGATTTCTTTCTTTAAGCAAAAGTTACTGTTTTACTTCAAAACCACTTACGAGTTACTTCTCTCATTGAATAAAGAAAATACCATTTTCCAGTTTAAAGTTTTTGGTTTCAAGAGAGAAAGTATTTCATAAGAGCTCTTACAATTAAATCCTTAAAAAATCATTTCATCTTACTGATAAATTGGCAAGTATTGCTTTGGGGCCTTTAATGGTTGAGGAAAGTTGTGACAGGAAAAACTAGCTATGTTTTATTTTAGGAATTTTCATGTGCTACTATCTTTTTCATTTTGTTTCTCCCTATAAACCACCATTTTTTCTTTTTCATTCATTTTTGTTGATTTTAATTTCTCTTAAAAGTTTTAATGAAGGCTTTATATTTATGTCATTTGTACAGATTAAAGATGGTGAGTTTGAATACAAAAATAAGAAGCCAATAGTACAGTTTATCCTTATTCCCTTTCCTCTTCCTTCACCCCCCCTCCTTCCAGATTTCCCACAAAGTGCTGCAAGATTTACCTGGCAGGTGTCTCTTGTAGTGTGTGTTACTGCCATTACTGCTGTCAAGAAAGAAGGTAGAAAGCTCAGAGGCTTTGCAGGGGCCCCGTGCAAAGCCCGATTTTACTATTTAGATTATGACTTAGAACTAAGGTTTAGAGTTTAAATCAGGTATATATAGTATACTGGAATCAAATATACTCATCTCAGTTCCATAAATAGAAGTCCAGATTTTTCAATATATGTAATATGTAGGAACTTCCATTTATGACTATTGGGATTCTGAAATTTTAATCCTAGACAACTTTTCTGTTAAAATTATGGAAAGTCAGTCAAAATTAAATTCTTTTTAGAATTCAGTGGTCTCTTGATTTATACCTTGTTAAAGTGAAACAGAATCAAGCCTGTGTGTGTATAACTATATTTTGTTTTAAAATCTTTTTTTAATTCTGGGCTGTTGTCTTCCTCTAATTTTTCAATTTCTTACACTTCCACCTCAGCTTTGGTACTTAATTCCTTATGATTTTACATAATAAATTGTGGTGTTACAGTACTGGTTGGCTGAAACCAGCTGCTGCCCAAGTCATATTTAAGAACCCATCCCTAATTGATACTAATCATATATTTGGTCCAAGAAGAATGAATCCTAAAATCATTCTTGAAGTTGTGTGTCATTAGAATGTAATACAGTGATGCCACTGGGTGGCTCTTTAACATTCCTTTATACATCTTTAAATTGTTTTGAGCATACTAAGAGTGTGCTCAAATGGTCAATAGAAGCTCTGCCAGCCTGTGGTTGTTACTTGATTAGTAATTTGGTATAATAATGCTTGTATTGCACTATAAAAAATGAAGAACTCAGGATCTCTACCCAAAAAGGTTGTCTTTGCATTCCTTTTCTTAAACAAAAGACATAGTTTCTCTTCAATATTTTTGAAATAGTAAAATTCTATTCTGTGGAAACATTCCGTTCCATTTACATTTGTTTTTTCCACAAAGTTGGTTTCATTTGAATTGTGTAGGTAATGCAACACTTACTAAGATTCTGCTGAATTACTTACTTATCTGCTATTTTCTTCCTCATGAAATTTTTTTGTATTGCTACAAAATTGTAATTCAGAAACTAAAATCATATACACTGTAATTTAAATAAATAAGATTTCATCTCTTTCTCTTAAAACTCCATGAGCATAACTTTACCCTTGGAATTGAAGATTGCTTGTGTATTTATTTTTTCTTTTTTTTTTTTTTTCCCCTCCCTTTCCAAATCTGTTTCAGCAACTGTACCAGATCCTGACAGACTTTGATATTCGGTTTTATATGTATGAGCTGCTGAAGGTGAGTGGCATTGTATATGGCAGTCTGGATGGGGAGACCAGCAATGAGAGTGGAAGTAGCAGGGCTGTACTACTAACC